ATTCAGAATGGGCCTTTCTCAACTATGATTCTGGGAGAGAATAATACCCAATGCCCTAAGGTATCTATTGAGTGAAATGAATTAACTTTCTCTTCTTTACATCTAGAATGGTACTAGTTATTTACTTTTTGAGAGAATTTTGAAAACAGTCCCTTAAATAATTTTCTGTGTTGTCTTTCAAATATAGAACTTAGATGAGAAAGGCTAGCAAGGGTTAACATAGAAAAGAATCATACATAACGTTTTTTCAAGAGTCACCCAAGTGTATACAGCATCTTCAATAACAACTAGGGAAAAGGTTTATCAAGTTTACAAATGTCATAAAGTTGGGGTCAGCATTTAAAAGATGATGCAAGAATTTGAAAGTATTCTGGTAGACAAGTAAAAATACTCAAAAAGCAAAATTAAGCATTTAGGAAAATAAAATATAGAAGATACAGAAATGATCATTTAGGAGTATAACTAAAACATTTGAGAATTACAGTGGATATGGAGCAAAATGAATACCAGGATGGAAAAAGCCAAGTTAATGCTCAGTCAGAAGTAAAAAACACTTGTTTCACACTCAGCACTAGGAGGGCTCTTTTGAGGAATGTATTTCAGTTGGGGATTGTGGAGGCAAAATGAAAGGCAGAGAACTTGTGAAAGTTCATTAAGGACTGACAGGCTAGGAAAGGCACGTAAAAGGACCACAGTTCATTTAGGAAGAAAACAAAGGGTGGCATCATAATACTTTTCAAACATAAACAGTCTTATATAAAGACTAACAAATAAGTCCACTCTGGAAACAAAAGTGCAAACCACAGGTGGGCAGTAAGACAAGGAGAGGACCTTCTTGGCAGTGACCATTATTAATCATTTCTCATGTTATCATATGGTAACAAATGGAATTACCATCTCTAGAGGCCTTCAAAAAATAAAATATCACAGGTTCTTTATTCAGGCTCGCATGCCATTCTGACACCTCACAACTATTCCAACTCTGCTAAGCTCGAAAAGCAGCCATAAGCAGTACATAAACAAATAGGAATGGCTGTGTGCCAATAAACCTGTTAGTAAAAATAGGCAGTCTAGGGGCCTACCTTGTTGACCCCTACTGTAAGAGGGTTTTGGTAGTGACAGTTTTGGGGACTAGGACTGATATTATTTTGCATGCACATTAGACAACAGAATCTAATATTATATATTAGTCAAAGTAAAATAATAACTTATGAGAAAAACAACATTTGATAAGAAAATCAGAATGACATTTCAAATAGAATCTCAATATAAAGAGGAAATGTAGGCTGCATGATTATTTCTGGCATGATAAAACTCTCAAAAACTTTCAAGTGCAATTAATGTTAAATCGTTTTATAAGCTTAGGTGTATTTCATGAAATCCTAGATTTCAGACTGCTCTTAGACCAAATCCATTGGAAATGAAGACCTCCCATATACACCCCTCCCCAAAGTTCCTAGTGGATCACATATACAAGAGATACCTTAGGAGGCATGAAGGCAGAAGAATGAGGCAGCGGAGCAGCACAGCCCACTTGGTTCAACCCTGACAGTGACTAAATTTCGTAAGAGAGAGAGAAGAAACAGAAGGCAGCATTTATATTAGCAAGATGTCAGGCAGACAGGCAGGCAGGCAGATCTGGTCAGTGAAATTAGAAAAGGAAAGGTTATCGACAAACTTTCAAATGGTTCATTTCCTATGATACTGATAGGGCAGAAAGAATTAAAACTATTACAATACTTCAAACCACATTAATCAGGGAGTAAAAGGCATGATTTATTAAAAATTATTTTATATGGAAATAAAACTGAGAATATCAAAATTTTTTAGCAAAATAGCCTTAGAAGCTAATGAGTCCCATGCTATTCCTATTGTAGGTAAAAGAAATCCAGCCAAAGAGCTCATTTTAACTGAGCAGAACTGGCATGACTAAGAACAATATTTTTTCAATGTTAATTCACATTAGATTTATTATAATTCAATTTAATGGCTCTTTTGTGAGATCAGACACGATAATTCTGCATCACACTCTAAAAATGAAGCAGCATCTCTTTTCGGACTCTCTGAAAGTCCAAATGACCTATATGAGGTAAGTGGAATTTTCCTTTTCTTTGAATCTTTTATCCTTTCACCAACCTATATACAACTAGTTATATATATTAGAGATATAATTAGAGATAGTAAGTGTTGGAATCCATTATACAGAATTTCGGTTACAGATAAAAGCTGCTCAAAACATGACAATTTTTTCATTTGTTAGGGAGTGGAAATCAGAGAAAACCGGACTTTCACACATGGCATTGGATATTAACTGTAAGAACAACAAAATGCCACAGGCTCAAAGACATTAAAGCCTTTTGTAAATTAAATAATTTAAAAAAACTTAAACTAGAAAATAAAATATCTGAATCGCTGATCAATGAACAAGAACACGGTGGGTGTTTAAAAGGTGTGTCAATGTTCAATAAAATAATTACAACTGTGCTTTTAATGAATTGATAGACAGTAATACCTTTTTTTCACGCCCCAAAAAGGAAAAGAAGCATGCAACACACACTGCAATGTGATCTATTTTATGGCAGAAAAAAGTGAAAGAAGAAATATACCAAAGAACACGACTGTGGAAACAGTTTTACACTGTGTATGCTTCACCTGTTTAGGTATCCTGGGCCTCCTTATAATCAAGTTACTGGAATTACTGTCAATCCTTGGGATATAGATGCAGATGGCAATATAGATGAAAGCAACAGAAGCCTGAGGGCAGCCCTAAGAGAATGGTAGTGCAGCTGATACTAATGGTAGTGTAACTGATATTACTAATACTTATTTCAAATCCTGTGTTTCAAAGTCTTCAAATCAAATACATTTACCTTGGTATATCACCAGATCTTCTCATGAAACAATTAAATGAGTAATTATTGATATAATATATAGCATATGTTCATTCAGGAAATATTTATTGAGCACCTAATATATCCCAGGACTCTGACAAGGACTGAGTATACACAGGTAAAAGCAACAAAGACTATCTCTATGCCCATGAAGCATAAAGTCTAGCAGTCTAACAGGGGAGAGATTAAAACAATAAATATCCATCTAAAAGTACTATGAAAAAATAACAGTGGAGACATAAATTTGACTTGGGGTGGGCTTTTACAGAAAAGCCATTTTAAAGATGTGACATTCAGGCTGGTACCTTATAGATGTGTAGGAATTAACCTAAGGACATACCCAGGGAGAAAGAGACAGTCCATGTAGAGACAACAGCACTGCAAAGGTCTTGAGGTAGGAAGAGATGAAATGTGGTAGTACAGCGTGAGACCAGAAAAGAGAAAGTACACAGGAGCTTGTAGGACATGTTAAGAAATCTGGACTTTATTCTAAGGAGCTTATAGGTTATGTTAAGAAGTATGGACTTTATTCTACCCTATGAAGCCACTGAAGAGTAGTTTTGAGATCAGAGGCATGATTTAAAATGACTTTCTGCACAGTGTTGGATACTAATCGGCACACAAAAACCTGTGAGACATGGTCCTTTTTTTTTAAAGGCCAGACATGAATACTGATAACTAAAATACAAGTGTGTATGTTCTGAAAATGGCTAAGGCCACTTCAAAATGCATGCTAAGGGGATTTTGTTGTTATTTTCCAAATTCCACTTTTTCCTTGACAAAAAAGTCTGTGCACTCACTTATACTACTTATTATATTTGCTATTAAATCTCACCTTCAGTTTCCTAAATTGTTTCAATTATAGTATGGGAGACAATACAGCATGGTATTTAATGCATGTTCTCAAGTCAGCCAGATACACATTTCAATTCAGACTTGTACTTACTAGCTATGTGATCTCCTGGACAAGACATTCTGTGCTTCAGTAATCATTTGTAAAATTATTTACAAAATGGTGATAAGCTTTAGCCTGGCTGTTAAAATTGCTGTGAGGAGTGAATGAGGTAACTCTAAAAAAGTGTATGGATCAGTACAGGTTCTCAATATTTTTCTGAATTTAAATTACTATTTGCTTCTCATGACAACTGACTTACTCTACAACTCGAGGGTGGTGGCTATTATTTATCCCTAAGACTGACCAGTTAAAATATATCTATCTCAAGGGAAATGAAGAGTGCAGAACACAAAGAAATTTTAACAATGGCAATTTATGTAATAGGAATCTCATGCTCAAGTATGCAGTTCATGCAGCACTATGTACAATGGTGGCAGTTACAAGCACAGAAGACAGGAATTGCTACAGACAGTGAACTTCTGAAATGCTAGTTTTCAATACCACTATGAAAAAATAGCATAAAACATGATGAGAAAAGCAATTACATAAATATTAAAATTCTCTTGCAAGGACAATAAAAATAAGACTTTTACTGAAGTTCTTATACTCATTTTCAGCTGATGAAACAGGCAATATAAGTAAACCAATGTTAAAAATGATGAGTAACTAGCATTGCAATTTAATGTTTCCCTGAGTTTAAAAAATGGGCATGAAGGAATATCTTGAGGTGTTAAATATTTTTTAAAAGTTTGGGGTTTTCAGTAGCTTAAAATCAATAATAAAATAGGATGACAAATATGCAGTTACATAATTAACATCATGGAGTAAGGGAATTCATTTAACACACAGGTGACTTATGAGCCAAAATAATGACTAATAAAGTAAGTGCACCTGGAATTGGAAACATTAAAAAACTAACATATTATGCTTTCTCCTCCCAACATACATACAAAGCCAATACAGTTCTAAATGCAAATGTTTTACTTCTGGAAACACTAACAAAAATATTTGAATCATGGCTGCAGAACATTAGAACACTGGGTTTGTCATGGATCACAATGTAGGCCAACAGTTCCGCTAGTGTGCAAATAATTTAGTAATGGTGCTCATCATGTTTTATGGTATTTACATAATTTCTGAACGAAAAGTACAGTAGTGACTTTCCAGTATCTAGGCCCAGCAATGTAAAACTCCATTTTGTGTGAGGCTCTTACCACTAACAAGGCACTATCATCAGTGTGCTGAGACCTTCTGGATGGGAAGGTACACTGGAGAGGTGGAGAAAAACGAAGCAGTGTCAAAAACAAACTATGCACACACATGACGTATTTCACAAATACACAAGCAAATGAGACATATTAACACATACTTGTGAAGAAGCTGACATATAGGACTGCATTCACAATCACTTGGAATTCTTGTACCATAATAGCTAATAAGTTGATTCTGAATAATGATATTCTTCAAAAGAGCTTACACAATTCCAAATATGATCGTATTGCCTAAAAACTGTCTAAAGCAAGGAGGGGACAGGAATTATTCTCTATTCACAGGAGAGAATGCTGAAATACAGACATAGAACAACAAAGAATTTCTGGTCATTTAATGAGCCAGTGACAAATTAAAAACAATAAGCCCAGAGGCATGATTTTTAGTCCAGACATCTCTTCATTACCTTTCTCAAATAAAACCAGACTATGATAGGAAATTTTAAAATTGTCCATTATTTTCCTGAGCAGCTTTCATTTTTAGATAATGAATTACTTCAGAATGATGACAAGAAGGAAACATTGGGGTAAAAAAGAGTATATTAACTTATCAAACTTTGGTCATCAAAGATTTGTACAGAATTATTACCATGTGAAGAAAAGACAAATGAAAATGCTTGAGTGAATCTTTACAGGTTACTATACCAATTTATAAGTTCTCATAAATAAACAAAAAGTAGTTATTATAGTCCAATAAGATAAAAAAAGCCTTTATAATGGATAATTTAAAACATTTCGAACAATACATTTTACCACTCTAGAAACACTTGTGCTTTAAAAACACTGTGATGAAAATTGATGCTTACAAAAGCCCCAGGTGTTAGGTTTTTGGGTAACTTACTTTTACAAAACGCTGTTAAAATTCACAAAACATAATGACCTTACATATTTCTTTGAGGAAGTAATGATCATAAGTTGAAAAACTGAGAAGGCAAAGATTAAGGAAAATGGCTACTGAGAAAGCCAAATCCAATAAAAAATTCCTTTAGTAGGCTTCATTTTAACTGGTCAATATAGGTGCGTACAATTTTTTTTTGATATCATTAATGTACAATTACTTGAACAACATTATGGTTACTAGACTCCCCGCATTATCAAGTCCCCCCCACATACCCCATTACAGTCACTGTCCATCAGCATAGTAAGATGCTATAGAACCATTACTTGTCTTCTCTGTATATACTGCCTTTGCCGTGTCCCCCCACTTACATTAGGTGTGCTAATCGTAATGCCCCTTTTTCCCTCTTATCCCTCCCTTCCCACTCACCCACCCCAGTCCCTTTCCCCTTGGTAACTGTTAGTCCATTCTTGGGTTCTGTGAGTCTGCTGCTGTTTTGTTCCTTCAATTTTTTCTTTGTTTTTATACTCCACAGATGAGTGAAATCATTTGGTACTTGTCTCTCTCCACCTGGCTTATTTCACTGAGCATAATACCCTCTAGCTCCATCCATGTTGTTGCAAATGGAAGGATTGGTTTTCTTCTTATGGCTAAATAATACTCCATTGTGTATATGTACCATATCTTCTTTATCCATTCATCTACTGATGGACACTTAGGTTGTTTCCATTTCTTGGCTATTGTAAATACTGCTGCGATAACATAGGAGTGCTTATGTCTTTTTCAGACCGGGCTGCTGCATTCTTAGGGTAAATTCCTAGGAGTGGAATTCCTGGGTCAAATGGTATTTCTATTTTGAGTTTTTTGAGGAACCTCCATACTGCTTTCCACAATGCTTGAACTAGTTTATATTCACACCAGTTGTGTAAGAGGAGGGTTCTCCTTTCTCCACATCCTCGCCAACATTTGTTGTTTGTGTTTTGGATGGTGGCCATCCTAACTGGTGTGAGGTGATATCTCACTGTTGCTTTAATTTGCATTTCTCTGATGATTAGCAATGTGGAGCATCTTTTCATGTGCCTGTTGGCAATCTGAATTTCTTCTTTGGAGAAGTGTCTGTTCAGCTCCTCTGCCCATTTTTTAATTGGCTTATTTGTGTTTTGCTTGTTGAGGTGCGTGATCTCATTATAATATTTGGATGTCAACTCCTGATCAGATAATATTCTCCCATACTGTAGGATGTCTTTTTGTTCTATTGATGGTGTCCTTTGCTGTATAGAAGCTTTTTAGTTTGATATAGTCCCACTTGTTCATTTTTGCTTTTGTTTCTCTTGCCCGGGGAGATATGTTCATTCAGAAGTCACTCATGTTTATGTCCAAGAGATTTTTGCCTATATTTTTTTCTAAGAATTTTATGGTTTCATGACTTACATTCAAGTCTTTTATGCATTTTGAGTTTACTTTTGTATACGGGGTTAGACAATAATCCAGTTTCATTCTCTTACATGTAGCTGTCCAGTTTTGCCAGCACCAGTTGTTGAAGAGGCTGTCATTTCCCCATTGTATATCCATGGCTCCTTTATCATATATTAATTGACCATATATGCTTGAGTTTATACCTGGACTCTCTATTCTGTTCCACTTGTCTATGGGTCTGTTCTTGTGCCAGTACCAAATTGTCTTGATTACTGTGGCTTTCTAGTAGAACTTGAAGTCAGGGAGTGTAATCCCTCCAGCTTTGTTCTTCCTTCTCAGGATTGCTTTGGCTGTTCGGGGTCTTTGGTGGTTCCATATGAATTTTAGAACTATTTGCTCTAGTTCATTAACGAATGCTGTAGGTATTTTGATAGGGATTGCATTGAATCTGTAGATTGCTTTAGGCAGGATGGCCATTTTGATAATATTAATTATTCCTAGCCAAGAGCATGGGATGAATTTCCATTTATTAGTGACCTCTTTAATTTCTCTTTAGAGTGTCCTGTAGTTTTCAGGGTATAGGTCTTTCACTTCCCTGGTTAGGTTTATTCCTAGGTATTTTATTCTTTTTGACGCAATTGTGAATGAAATTATTTTCCTGATTTCTCTTTCTGCTAGTTTCGTTAGTGTATAGGAATGCAACAGATTTCTGCATATTAATTTTGTATCCCGCAACTTTGCTGAATTCAGATATAAGATCTAGGAGTTTTGGAGTGGATTCTTCAGGGTTTTTAATGTACAATATCATGTCATCTGCAAACAGGGACAGTTTGACTTCTTCCTTGCCAATCTGGATGCCTTTTATTTCTTTGTGTTGTCTGATTGCCATGGCTAGGATCTCCAGAACTATGTTGAATAAAAGTGGGGAGTGTGGGCATCCTTGTTTTGTTCCCCATCTCAAAGGAAAAGCTTTCAGCTTCTTGCTGTTAAGTATAATGTTGGCTGTGGGTCTGTCATATATGGCCTTTATTATGTTAAGGTACTTGCCCTCTATACCCATTTTGTTGAGAGTTTTTACTGTGAATGGATGTTGAATTTTGTTAAATGCTTTTTCAGCATCTATGGAGATGACCATGTGGTTTTGTCCTCCTTTTTGTTGATGCAGTGGATGATGTTGATGGACTTTCGAATGATGTACCATCCTTGCATCCCTGTGATGAATCCCACTTGATCATGATGGATGATCTTTTTGATCAATTTTTGAATTCGGTTTGCTAATATTTTTTTGAGTGTTTTTGCATCTGTGTTCATCGGGGATATTGGTCTGTACTTTTTAGGTGCACACATTTTAAGAATATTAATAAGTAATTGATTTTACATGTTAACTTATAATGAAAATGTGCTACTTAATAATATAAAACTAAGGTATACATAGTATAATCAACAACACACACTTAGGAAATGAGTGCTGAAGCTGAAATACTATGCAGTCTTTTCTGTTTTATACTGACACCATTCACGAGTGACAGATATAGCTCTCAGGATTCTGTCCTACAGGGTGCTTCAAAAACGGAGGAGGGAGAGGACACCTCTGGTGGGGGTGGTGAAGAGAAATAATCTCCAGATGGTTATGAACAGATGAAAAAAAAAACATCTATACATTCTGATAAACTCCCTGGCCTGTGTTTTCTCCCTAATAAGAATTCTATGAGGGCTGAAAAAGAAAACCTGTAATAATCACATGCAAAAGAACATTTCATTTCCAATGCAATAAAAAAATTTCCAAAGAAAAGGCAATTATACAGACTTACCTCACCATCTAAGGGGAGATGGTGTTTTTGTGGACTTTGTGGTGCTTTTGCTATACACCCCCACCCATCCCCCCATAAAAGGAAGTTCATTAGAATCTAGAATACTGGAAATGATCAATTCTGTTTACTAAAACGATCACTCATATTAATTTGTTATCTCTTGTGTTCAACACTTTTCCAGATTTATTAGTTAGAAGATGTTGCCCTTTCCCTTAAATAGCTTACAATTTAAATGAGGAAAATACTGGCCAACAGTATTTTCATGTCTATAAGCATCTCTAAACCATGTTTAAAAACCATGCTTTTTATATGTACATCATGCAAACACATTCACAATCAGAATAGTGATCTCTTCCTATATTTGCTCAATGAAATCATTCTTTTTCTCTAATGGCTATAAATATCACTGTAATGCTAGCAGCTTTAGCTCCTCCTATCAGCCAAATTTCAGGTTTGAATTTTCAACTATCTGGCTCTTTTCCCCAATTTGCTAACTTCTATTACTATGTATGTAACAGAAATCTGTACAGTCAAGTATTCTGTAATGTATTCTTATACACAGTACTTCTAGAGATTCTTCTCACTCTGTAAAATAAGTGAACATCATAATTATACTCACTTAAAGATGAGAAAATTGAGTGTAAGAGAGATTATATGACATATGTAAGGTCACAAAGTTGGTAAGTAGCATAACTGAGACTTGCACTTATGTTTTCTGGCTCCAAATCCTACATTCTTTCCACAATGCTTAGACTCGCATTAAAACCATTCTTAAAGCCTCAAAATCTTGCTTTGGGACCTTTTACTTTTTCACTTCAGTGATTTATTAAACATTCTGTGTACAAGATACAATGATGCTTCTCTTGAAATCTCTGACAGTTAATTGATAAAATCTATTGTGGTGGTAGGGGGTGTATAACTCACTCTACTAGCAA